TCCTTTCCTCACAGAGCAGGTGTTTCACCCAGTGTTCCAAAAATAAACTAATCTTAGAGCCGTATTTTTCAGGCCTGCAGCATTTTTAGTTTTGTTCCTGTCATCTGCTTAAAGTCTTCAGATCTCAGACTTTTCTTGTTTCAGAGATTACATTAAAGGATAAGGCCGGCCAGTTTCTATATTAAAAGTATTTCCAGCAATCTCCATGCAGAGACTAAAACCGAAAATGATTTCCTTCTACTCATGGTTAATGTCCGTCAGCTGTCAGTCCTGGATTAGCTTGTTCATCTGTGCCATGGACCTCCAATGATGTTCAAAAATAATTAAAAGTAACAGGGAAAACACATGACGGCGCTGGGTGACACGCTTTTCTGTTATGAAACCCCAGACCCATAATTTCCTGAAGTTTCCTGAGTCAACTGCACATGCCCACGATCTTGCTCAAGATCTCTCATTCCATTAGCTACTCACACTCAGGTCTAGAGTTTACTAATGAATGAAACATATCACCCAGTGCAGCAGTGTGTTTGAACAAAAACAGAGGTCTATGGCACAGACGAATAAGCTGATCCGAGACTGGTACACTTATGGACATCAACCATGAGTAGAGTCTTTGTATGAGGAGTGCTGAAAATACTGTCACTATAGAACATGACCAGCCTTATCCTTTAAGTTAATCAATTAGTTTCATCTGCCAAACCACAGAGAACATGATTTACAGTCCATCTGTTTGGATTCTCATACAGGTCTTATCCACTGAACCCATCTTCACCTACATAGACTTTCAGCAACCAACAAAGAGCTGGAGCCGAGACGGTCTAGCATGGATATGCCCAGGATGGCCGAGGGCCTCTTCAGCAGCACGCTGTCCTCGTCAGGCGGCGGGCACCATGTGCCTTCCTACCTGACGCTGGAGCAGAAGGCCGCCTTCATCTTTGTGCTGCTACTCTTCATCTTTCTGGCCCTGCTCATTGTGCGCTGTTTCCGCATCCTGCTGGACCCATACCGGAGCATGCCCTCATCCAACTGGACAGACCACACTGAGAAGGACACATTTGATTACCGCATTGTCTGAGGAGCCCTGACGGTGCACAAATTAAAAAATTTTTAATAAAATAGACCGATTTGATGCTTAAAGAGCACTTTGGCCCTAAGAACAAATGACTGCTGATTCACCAGGAAAACTGCTTTCAGAAAGTCTTCTGAGAGTTCAGACTGAAAAAAATTTCAACACTGGATTGTCATTGAAATTAGTGCCAACCAGAGTTCAACAGCTTCTCCCTGCCAAATCAGAAAATTCTCAACTATAACAAGACAACCAGAAGTATGCTATGAAGATTACTGATCAAGCTGCCACAACATGCAGTTCAAGTGATGCACCAGAGCCAGTTAAGGTTCACCTATAACTCCCTTCCTCTGCCATCAGTTCTGTTGTGGACTACCTCATTTCTCCTCCATCTTATGTGTGGAAGTATTTTCTCACATCTCACACAGGGTTGAATATCTGTTGAGATCCAAGCTATTTGGATAATAACAGTGTTTACATCATGTTTACATCCTTAGATTTTTATTAATAACGTAGACAATCAGTGTTTAAAGTAGCTAAAGAAATTGCAGAGTAAATAGCCATTGAGGTATTTTATTTTTTATCATATTTTGTCCTGATATGTAGACAGACAGGTATAAAAGTCTTTGTGTGTCAGATATGATTCAGGTGAAGAGGAGGTTAATGTGTGGTGTCTGCAGTATATAGGATATTCTGTGGTGGTCATTGCATTGAAGACACTTAGGTGAGACAATGAGAAAGACCGGTGTCAAGGTTATAAAAGCAGGTTAAATAATCCTATTGTGGTGGAAATGTTTTCCCTTTAATGTTTGGGAAAGGTTTGAATCGATAGATGCCAGCAGTGAGTAAATATAACTGTTCTGTCTGCGTGATTAAAAAAACAATTTGTCCTTTCAGTCATGGAGGGCCTTCAGTGTCCACGTCTTTAGATGTCAGCAACCAAAAGAGGTAGTAAAGAAAAATGCGTTTACTGTGGTGTACCGTGTGCCTAATTTAAAAAAACAAAAAACAAAAAAAAAAAAAAACACGTTTAGACCGATGTTTTCAGAAAAAGAAAGAAAATCGGTCTATATTTTTGTCTTTAAATGTAGTTTTTTGTGTAACGCCCATGTAAACAGCAGTTTACTGCCTGCAGTTGGTATTTTGACAGTTGGTATGCCAGGCCTGCAGAGTGTTAATGAATATGACAATGCACTTTCACATGAAACCCTTTACAAACTGATGTTGTGGCTCTTTTGTTGGGCAACTTATGAACTGTGCGCCTTATAGTGTAGATTGTTTACAGTATCGTAGGTAGTGGAGACATTGGAAAACGGTGTCTTTGCACTTCACTGAGATGTCATATAACCCACTAAAACAATAAAACAAAAGAAAAAGATAAATAAAAAACATTCCCTGATCTTGCTCCTGCCCCGGGCAGGAAGGGAACTGTGACCCTTCTGACGATGTGATGTTCTTGTGATCTGCTGTGGCCTTTTCCTACCTGTTGCAGATATGTTTTTTTTTTACCCTGCATGTATCACTTGCAGATTGTCCTCTCAGTGCATGATAAATGGTGAAGTGCTTTAATCCTGATGTTGTAGCTGTGGGTCAAGCAGCCATTTACTGTCTATACCGGAGCCTTTTGTTTTGGCCTGTTTTTTGCCTGCAACCGCTGTTCTTTTATAATAAAAATCATCACAGTACACGCCTGCTTTTTTTAATGTGTTTTATTTTATTCGGTCCATTCACCAGGAGGTAAAAGTGGCAGGTGTTATGGACATAAAAATGAGGATGAGGAAACCATTCTTTCAGCCACCTTGCCCTTTTCAAGGCATTCGTATGTGCTAGAGGCCCAGCACATTCTTTTTCCCCTTGTATTAGCAGCTGGCAGTGGTAGCCGGCAGGTGTCTGGATTGGTTTTCACTTTGTCTAGGTACACACACACACACATTTCCAGGCTCCTGGCCCAGACTGTTCTTTGAGCCGAGACCTTCTGAGAACACCACACAGAATAACAATCTTCTTCCTGACATCAGTGCTGAATATGCTGGCGTGCAATCATCTGCTGCACACTTCCCTGAAAAACCTGCATCATTTCTCACACTGAATCCAATCCATCAGAGTCTGAAGTTTGCTTGCAAGTAAATATGTGCCTCAGCTGGGTGTCATTTAATAATGT